TTTTGCATTACCATTTGCTTTCTTCACAGCGCCAGTTTTGCCATTGCCATTCTTCGCTGGGGCAGCTGTGGGCTTAGATTTGGTTGGTTTGATTTTAGACAGGAGGACGTCTGCTGCAGTGGGCTTTGCTTTGGAGGACTTGGAAGCTTTGGTGGGCATAGGCGGCTTGATGACGAGTTTATATGATCCAGACTTGACGGGCTTAGCTGGAGTGGGCTTGGATTTTACAAGTGTGGGTTTAGCAGGTGCTGTTTTTTCAGTGACTGCCTTCTTCTAATAGCCGTGATTATTGTTTGGTTGAGATGTTATTTTGTATGTAAACGTGAATATGGACAAAGACAATGAAAGAGAGTAGAAGATGACAAAGATACACGGAGATGGGGAGGGGGGTGAAAAGCACAAACAAGGGATGACAGAAGGAGAGAGAAAGACAAGAACGCATGTTTTGAGAAACAGTGACATAAAGATGGCTAAGGCTCGGATGATTTACTGAGACTGTACAGGCATTACTGGATACAGCACAGAAGTACACTGACACCACTTAAGCATTAAAAATGGAATTTACACCAAGATAGCCAAACAATATGAAAAATTTCACGTCTATGAACCAATTTATTTGAGTTTGTTTTTGCTGATCTCTCCAATAATGCCATTCCCAATACTAAATAACAAAGCAGCATCTTTGTGCTAATAAGAACTGAGGCTGTGGTTTGGCAGAGGCACTGAGAGCGTGATGGGGCAGGTAAAGCTGGCTGCAAAACACTCACACATACACACACAGGTACACGCAAACATACATAACGCTGATACCAAACCTGCTGTGTTGTGATTAATGCACCAAGCAAACTGTAAGAGAAGGCTGCTGCAGTTTAGTCATGCAAAAGAAGTCGCAGGGACGGCGGTCTGGCATGCAAATGCGTGTTAGTCACATAAAACCACAAAGTGTAAAGTTGTGTAGATCAATGACTCTAACCACCATGCTGCTACAATAAAATACATGCAAATCAAAACTGTGTTCACAAACAATCGCCTACAAAAATACGTTATGAAGAGAAAACAGAGGAATATACCCTCCTCACAAAGGTCAGGGGAACAACCATGAATGCATTTACTAACACAATCACGTGCACTGACATTCTCGTATTTACACAGACGTTGATGTAGAAACTTTTGGTGCAGAAGCACAGTAGGTGCATGCGGTAACATCCTCCCAGACAATGAAGTAATCATGCAAAACAGTAACAGGACATCAAAGACTGTGTGTGTCATTAAACTCCATGTAGTGAGCGATCACAGGAAAGCTTCTGTAAGTGAAATAAGCTGATTACCCAATGTATGACAAACCACACCTAGTATCTGGTAACATGACAAACATGAAATCCACTGCATCTGTAATCTAACATGTAATCACTGTAATCCAAGAATTTTAAATATCTTAACGCTCTCTGAAAGTCCAGTTTATATGATTATGAAATCATATAAATATCAACTTTATCTCACAGCAATTCATTCAAAAATCTCCCTTTGAAGGTGTTTGACATCATTAGTAACCTAAATGAAACAACACAGCTGCACCCTCACTGCCCCAGTGCCCCCACCTGGCCACATGTGAACACACAACATATATGACAACATGTAAATGACAAAAATAATCCTGTGTGATGGGGATGGAGGTAATCACATGTTAGCGCTCAGTCTGCATTAACAAGAGAAGCTGATGTAATAAAACAAAAAGGAGGTGTGGAGTAATGAGCGCAGAGCGAGAGAGGCAAAAATAAAACAAATAATTTATCGTGTAAGAAAATTTAGATTACATCCCAGCACTTGTAAACCTAATAATACAGGATGGATTATGAGCCAGTTATGGTTTAAATGCCTCTCTCTCCCTCTCATTCTCCCTCCCTTCCACAAACCCTGCTCGTGTTTTCCGTCACTCTCGCTCCCTCTTTACCTGTTGGTTGGGGGCCCCAGGTTGGGGAGAGGGGGTCGCGGAGGAGGAGGCAATGCCTGTTGTTTCCTCATAATAATAGGGGTATTCATGGTCATCCTGCTCCTCATCAAAGTACTGAGACAGATGGAAGGAACACGAAAGCAAGAGGAAGAACGCATGAAGAGGAGTTTAGATTTCCACAGGGAGGTTGAGAGAGGTTTTAGAGGCCATGTAGGGATAAATGAAGGTTAAGATGAAGAGTATGTGATGCAGCGTTGGGGACGGGGGGTATAAACAACAGTAGGAGACAGGAAACAGGATGATGAGAAAACACAAATCTTTGACTTTTTTCCCACTCATCAGAATCTGTGTCAAAAAGTGTTTAAATATGTCGGTACACAAGAATCTGGATGAATGAGAAAACAGCAAAAACAAAGCAACAGTGGAAGCCAATGAATAAAATCAGAGATTTCTATTCATCCAAAAAAGAAAAAGTCATCTCAACAGCATCAACATGACAGGGTTTGGGAGTGTCGGAGCTCTGAAGTGACCGATAATTTATCCTGATTTAACATCTGACAAACTTCTAAAACAAAGTCTGTGTACTTTGGATGGATGCAGACGATGCAGTCACTGCCAGCTCACAGATATCAGTTTGTTTTACAGTGAAGTTAATGAATGTAAGCTTGCAAAGCCTAGAGTACTTAATGTAACGTGCACGACCAGTCTCAGTAAGTAAAGAGGCTCCACCTTAAGCCATCGTGATGCCAAATTCTTATACTTGAAAACCAATCAGAATTTAACACAATTTTATGTTCTAACAGGTCCTTTTCTTTCAACTCATTATATATAAAAAATGTCAAAAGACACTGACGTTTGCTTGTATCATCCTCATTCCCCTGCCTTTCTGTGTTCCACTGCTCTAAGAAGTCAACAGCATAAAATCATAAAAGTGTAAAAAATGTAAAATCACAGCTCTGGGATGGGACGATGACAACGCCTCTGCTTTACGTCACCGAATGGGAGACACAGACTGTGGCGGTGAGGAGGAAAGCGGATGGATACAAACTGTTGCTGATGACGAGGATGCGAGAGAAAGACAGAAAGGGGGAGCAGCACTTTGATGACATCATCAGATGACCCAAACTGAACCCGAGGACTTCATTTTCAGACGAACTTCAGTAGATTTAGTTTGACAGCTAGACTTTTAGAATTTTAAAAACTTTTTCCAGAAGGTTT